TGTGACTCGAGCCTTGCCATACGATTCTCATCATGCCAGGTTCATCATTCACTCAGATGAGACATTTCTGTATCAGAATCTGGTCACAGCCGGGCTCTCTGATGTTTGTCATTAGTGGAACATGATGGCATGTGGTGCCCCTGGTGGCTCAATTATCGGGGATTTTGTTTTACATTTTAAACAAGTGCAAGAGAAGAGGAGACAGACGCAGAACAGCACGCAGACTATCTGCAAATACCTAATGATAGCAGACTCTGCAGACTGACAAGTCGGAGCACAGGGAGGCTCACGGGCGGATTACAGCAAGCCTTCATTCTTGCATGCTCAAAGGCAGCTTGCGCTTCACCCATGCAGGGCAAGAAGCAACAGGCTCACTGTAATGTCGGATCCATCCTCTGCAAACACCTACCTACCCTTTGCATCTCCACAGCCGTCTACTTTGCAAAAGGATTCTTATTTCCTTGTATTTGGCAACGGATTGGTATTCATTAGTGTACTGGCTCCTGCCGGTAATGAATACTCCTTTTAATAGCTCCACTCCAGTCAAACAGCTAAATACACAGACGATTGAGCTACCTAAGGATTTGTATTTCTGCCCACTCAGTCCTGAGATTCACTGTCTAGTCACAGGCTGTGGGGAGGGACAAGACCTGTAAGTAAGTATTACTGCACTGCAGCAGAGAAAAAAATCTCAGGACTGTGCTGTGTGGCAGAGCTGTGTAAAAGGAGAAGCAGCAAAGTGATGAGCTCATCTCTCTGTCACTCTGCTCTCTCATCAGCATATTCCTTTTTAGCACATGAGCACTGCAGCACAATTCACTGGCTCCTTGTTCTGTTTCTTTCTCTCAGTCTTAGCTCGGCTGTACAGTCATTGCAAGTGGCTGATATATGGGCAGCACAGTGGCTTGCAGCACTGGGGGTACTGGTTCACACAATGTGCAAGGAGCTTGCATGAGTTTCCTCCAGGTGCTCTGGTTTCCTCCCACACTCCAAAGACACGCTGGCTGGTTAATCGGCTCCTCTCTAAATCGTCCCTTTATGTATGCAAGTGAGATAGGGACCTTAGGTTGTAAGCTCCATGAGGGCAGGGACTGATGCCAATGTAAAGCGCTGCTTAAAAATTAGGGATGCACCGATACCGATGTTTCCGCTGGCATGGAGCCGGCTTCCTGTGCAATCAGAAAGCCGGGCGGTGGGTAATGACATGCCGTTCCAGCTTCCTGATTTCCCGGGAAGCCGGCTCCATGTTGTTGGGCTGGCTTGATTGTGATTGGCCAGGAAACCGACTTCCATGCCAATCAGCAAGCCGGGCGGTGAGTAATGACCCGCTACACAGGTTCCTGATTGGCGGGAAGCTGGCTCCATGCTGATTGGCTGGTAAATTAGCTTCTCGGCCAATCAGCAGGGAGCCGGTTGTTTGGCCAGAACGATGCTAAACGGCTGCCCAGCCAACCAGGAAGCCGAGAGGCAGGTCATTACTCGCCGCCCGGCTTCCTGATTGCACGGGAAGCTGGCTCCGAGTTCCCCTACGGCACTGCCGCTCAGAGGAAATCTTCCTCTGACCGGAATTTCCGGTATCGGGGAAGCCATCAGAGCATTTTGGCGAGTATGAGTACTCACCCAAATACTCGGTATCGGCACATCGTTAGCAAAAATTGTGGGCCCTATATAAATACAACGTCGAATTCAGGTACTTACATGGGTTTCATTTAATGATTTATCAGAATACTGATCGGCATTACAGCCAAAGCCAAGCTTTCAGTGGATATTAGCTAAAGGTGCATAAAAAAAAAAGGTTTGCAAAGTCTTTTCTTTAGACAGCAGCCACAACCGAGCAGAAACACCTGTCCCCTGCCAGCATGCAGCCGAGTAGGGCCCTGGTTCTCTGTGTGGAAGTCATACACACCGCATGATAAGACAAAGCTTACGTCTCCAATCAGCAGAGAACATGAGCTTTCCTGAGAGCACATCTATAGATCTGACTCAATAGGGGGCAAGTCAGACCTCTGCACTGCTTCCCACAGGCTGCAAGGGTCCCACTCAGCAGCTGCTGGCAGAGGACAGGCTTATCTACACAGGCTGTGGCTGCTTTCTAAAGAAAACAAAGACACTGCACACCTTTTGTTTTGCTGCTTCTGGAATGTATTTAGCAGATTAAAACTGAAGGTTCAATTGGACTTTAATTTGTGTCTTTAATATCTGCCTATCGTTCGGTTACCTGGTTTTAGGTTCGGTTCCGGAGTCTGGGCATTGCTGCTTTGATTATAAAAAGGTATTAATAAAAAAAAAAAGACATTTTCTAGCAATTTGTTTGTGTTTGTATCAGCCTTTTTGTATCCTTAAGGGGATTCTCCTTGTAGCTTTGCACTCTTTGTACATGTTTGTAGTGTTGCAGAACCTCCATTAGCAAATGAAATTAATTAGATACATATGAGCCCGCTGCTTTCATCCACATTGGCAAGACTGTGAGAGACTGGCACAGAAACAGAGGAACTGTGAACCGCAATCACTGCGCAGCACTGCTAAGCAGGAAGCGGGGCCGGCATAAGCAATGCCCCTGGTGCATATCTGTTTACAGACTACAAGGCAAAGAAAGATTTATAAAACAAACACAAAATAATGGCAGTCCTGCGATCAGATCTATTCTTATAATAAATAATGTGTCCGTGTAACACTTACAGGTGTTTATTACCCCTCACAGAGATTGCAGTGCTACCCCTATGTGGTTATCTGCTTTTCTTTACAAAAAGATGGCGCCATCTCTGTTCAGGCATCATCCAGGGTCACCATCTGCTTCCTGGACTGAGATGCCGGCTTGGATATGACACAATCATGTAAATCCTGGTTACTGAGCAGTTCTTGGCTGTGTCCACAAATGTCTGATGCAGATCACCCCCTGCTGCAGCTTCTTACCTTGTGATTTGCAACAAAGTTACCATGTTGCATGATGATCACCAGGTGGTAGGGGAGACCGAGGAAATGCTTCCTCCTACCTGCAGCAGACGGATCACTGGGGTGAGGGAACACTGAGGAAATGCTTCCTCCTGCTTGCATCAGACTGATCATTGGGGGAGAGGATATTGAAATGCTTCCTCCTGCCTGCATCAGAATGATCACTGGGGGAGAGGATATTGAAATGCGTCCCCCTGCCTGCAGCAGAATGATCACAAGGGGGATAGGAGACTGAGGAAATGGGGTATAGGAGACTGAGGAATGCTTCCTCCTGCCTGCAGCAGAATGATCACTGGGGGAGAGGACATTGAAATGCATCCTCCTGCCTGCAGCAGACTGATCACTGGGGGAGGGGAGACTGAGGAAATGCTTCCTCCTGCCTGCATCAGACTGATCACTGGGGGTATAGGAGACTGAGGAATGCTTCCTCCTGCCTGCAGCAGAATGATCACTGGGGGAAGAGGATATTGAAATGATTCCTCCTGCCTGCAGGAGACGGATGACATCATCCCGGACTTTCTTCAGCTCAAGGCCGGCATTTTAATCATTTCAGAAAAACGATACTATTGCTGCTGATAGTGACACGTCAGGAATTTATTCATGCAGACCTGTATTATAAATCTCCATGCATATTATACATTTGATGCATAATTCAAGCATGTATTGCAGAAGTCTCACTACAGATGGTTAAAACTCCCCCAGACACCTTCCCTTTTATTACCATTCAATTGCACATTAGAAATAAAAACGCAAGTCCACCCATTAATTGGAATCTTTCTCATAGTTGACAGGCCCGTCGATTGGACGTTTGGTCATCTTCTGAACTGACTCCGGTCTAGCCAATTATTCCATGACGTTACTGGTGATAGGGAATCTGTGGGGGGCTCGGAGCTCTTTTGGGTCTCCTTTAATCTGTCTAATTAAACATCAGTCTGTCTGGTAATGACAAGGCAAAGCGTACGGGAGTTTGGTGCTCGTCTGAACGGCCTCTAATCTGTCCGATTAATTGGGAATCTTTCCAAGGGTGACAGCAGGATGAGGGACGGCGCAATGCAAGGTAGCAGGAGCTCGGGTCGAGGGGGTCTATAAAAACGTTCCCATTAGCTATGACGCTCTCTCCATAATTTTTTATACTGTCTCATCTTCACAGGTTTCTGTTCTTTAACTTTAATGTTTTTAAAATGGCATGAAAATGAAGTAATTATTTCTTAATTAGCCAGTTGCAGAGCACATTGAGAGCAATTCATCTCCATCACTCGAATGCAGGAGCAGGCGGGGCGGTGAGGAACGTTGGCGGAATCGAAGAAAGAAAAGAAAAAAAAATCGGAAGTGAGCAGATGACGAAAGACGATCGTAACCTGTCAAACCCCAAATTACTCCTCCTGGGGGGAGAGATGTATGGCACAACCGTATTCCAGAAAAGAATTGGGAAACAATATGTCCACTTCAATAAAAATTGCAGCCAGTACTTTGTGTCTCTGCCCCTCCTACAATGGTGAGCTTTCCCCCAGTACTTTGTGTCCTCGGCCCCTCCCACAAAGGGTAGATTTCCCCCAGTAGGTTGTGTCTCTGCCCCTCCTACAATGGTGAGCTTTCCCCCAGTACTTTGTGTCCTCGGCCCCTCCCACAAAGGGTAGATTTCCCCCAGTAGTTTGTGTCTCTGCCCCTCCCACAATGGGTAGATTTCCCCCAGTAGTTTGGGTCTCTGCCCCTCCCACAATGGTGAGATTTCTCCCTGTAGTTTGTGTCTCTGCCCCTCCCACAATGGTGAGATTTCTCCCAGTAGTTTGCGTCTCTGCCCCTCCCACAATGGTGAGATTTCCCCCCAGTAGTTTGCGTCTCTGCCCCTCCCACAATGGTGATATTTCCCCCCAGTAGTTTGCGTCTCTGCCCCTCCCACAATGGTGAGATTCCCCCCAGTAGTTTGTGTCTCTGCCCCTCCCACAATGGTGAGATTTCCTCACAGTCGTTTCAGTCCCGACCCCTCCCACAATGCTGAGCTCAGCAATTTAAAAACATGGAACCCAAAGCATTAAATCAGCTCCTACCTGATAGAACCAATCATATATGGCTGTGCAAGCTGGACCACAATGGCACCACTGTTGAGCTGGTGGCAGGTGTAACCCGAGTCCCAGTCGTAATTCTTAGTGTCTCCGTTCAGCAGGGCGTTGCGGCTGCGGCTCACACCTTCGATCACACTGGCTGATTCGGTGGTGGTGGCGACGTTTTCTGTAGGGACTGAAGAACCAAAATAAAGAATTACTTTGGGGAAACCTAAAAAAGGTATTTCATGGGACAGTTGCATAATTAAACAAACATACTCAGGCCTGGTGTTATTGGCCCTTCTACAATGATGCAGATGGTCTACCAATTCTCCTCTTCTAAAGTATTCTGCAATGCTTTTCGCTTTAAAAACACCCCGGCCACTCTATTAGGTACACCTGCTCAATTGCTTGGTAACACATATTGCTAATCAGCCAATCACATAGCAGCAACTCTCGGGTTTACAGAGAATGGTCCAAAAAATAAATTATCCAGTGAGCGGCAGTTGTGTGGATGAAAATGGCTTGTTGAGGTCAGAGGAGAATGGGCAGACTGGTTCTTGATGATAGAAAGGCAACAGTAACTCAAATAACCCCTCGTTACATCCGAGGTATGCAGAATACCATCTCTGAACGCACAACACATCCAACCTTGAATCAGATGGTCTTCTACAATGATGCAGATGGTCTACCAATTCTCCTCTTCTAAAGTATTCTGCAATGCTTTTCGCTTTAAAAACACCCCGGCCACTCTATTAGGTACACCTGCTCAATTGCTTGGTAACACATATTGCTAATCAGCCAATCACATAGCAGCAACTCTCGGGTTTACAGAGAATGGTCCAAAAAATAAATTATCCAGTGAGCGGCAGTTGTGTGGATGAAAATGGCTTGTTGAGGTCAGAGGAGAATGGGCAGACTGGTTCTTGATGATAGAAAGGCAACAGTAACTCAAATAACCCCTCGTTACATCCGAGGTATGCAGAATACCATCTCTGAACGCACAACACATCCAACCTTGAATCAGATGGGCTACAGGAGCAGAAGACCACACCGGGTGCCACTCCTGTCAAAGAACAGGAAACCGAGGCTACAATGCACACAGGCTCACCAAAATTGGACAATAGAAGATTGGAAAAACGTTGTCTGGTCTGATGAGTCTCAATGTCAGATGGTCGGGTCAGAATTGTGAATAAACAACATGAAAGCATGGATCCATCCTGCCTTGTGTCAACACTGCAGGCTGGTGGTGGTCATGGTGGGGGGGATATTTTCTTGGTGCACTTTGGGCCTGTGATGCTATCATGTCAATATGGACCAAAATCTCTGAGGAATGTTTCCAACACCTTGTTGTATCTATGCCACGAAGAATTAAGGCCGTTCTGAAGGCAAAAGGGGGTCCAACACGGTACTAGCAAGGTGTACCTAATAAAGTGGCCGGTGAGTGTAAACTACAGTATATGGTCACAATGTTGTAGACACAGGACAATCACACCTATATGAGCTTGTTGGACATCCAATTCCAAAACCATGGTCATTATTATGGAGTTGTCTTCTTAAAGGTAGAAAAGAATAGGGCACCAATATATTATTGATGGTCCAGATAATAAAGACCAACTTTTCAGGGTCTTTGGATGGAAAATTGGTATTCTGGGTATGGATTTGATTAGCACATTGAAAGCCTGCTGTTCACTGGTGTGGTAGGCTGCTTGATCAGTGACCACAGCAGGCTTTACCTATGCTTATTTTATATGCACTATCAAACATATTCTGGCCTGTGTGTTATTGGCTCTTTCACCTCTATCACACTTATATGAGCTTGTTGGACATCACATTCCAAACCATGGTCATTATGATGGAGTTGTCTTCATGTTATGACCATCAGTTTTTACCCTCATAGGAAGGCTTTCCACAAAATTTTGGATTGTCTGCAGAAATATGTACTGATTTGTGAGGTCAGGTACTGGATGTTGGATGACAAGACCTGGCTCACGATCGGTGTTTCAATTCCTCCCAAAGGTGTTCAGTAGGGTTGAGATCAGGGATCTGTGTTGGCCACTTCAGTTCCTCTACACTAAACTGGTTAAACCATCTCTTTAAGGAACTGGCTTTGTGCATAGGGGCATAGTAATGCTGGAAAAATTAATGCCAGCATATTAAATGTGCACAATTGTCTAAAATGTCTTTATATGTCGTAGCATTTCAGTGCGCTTCCCTAGAGGCACCTTAAACCACCTGGAGGGGGTCCACATACGTTTGTCCATACAGTGTACAGTATATACACTTACCGACCACTTTATTAGGTACACCTTACCAGTAGCGGGTTGGACTCCCATTTTCCTTCAGAACGGCCTTAATTCTTCGTGGCATAGATTCAACGTGTTGGAAACATTCCTCAGAGATTTTGGTCCATATTGACATCACTGGCCCAAAGTGTGCCAAGAAAATATCCCCCACACCATTACACCACCACCAGCCTGAACCGTTGATACAAGGCAGGATGGATCAATGCTTTCATGTTGTTTATGCCAAATTCTGTCCCTTCTATCACAGCTGAAATCGAGTCTCAACAGACCAGGCAAAGTTTTTCCAATCTTCTATTGTCCAATTTTGGTGAGCCTGTGCGAATTGTAGCCTCTGTTTCCTGTTCTTAGCTGACAGGAGTGGCACCCGGTGTGGTCTTCCGCTGCTGTAGCCCATCTAGTTATATAGTATTTGAGGTTGAATAAAAGACACAAGTCCATCAAGTCCAACCTATTGTGTGTATGCATTTATGTTTGAGTTGGTGTGTGAGTGTGTATTTGTCCATGTATGATTTTGCTCTTAGGCGTACCTGTACCCCTGTATATTATGGTCTCCGAGAAACTCGTCCAGAAGTTTCTTGAATGATTCCACACTCTTAGCTGAAATTACTTCCTGCGGCAGCGAGATTCAAGGTTCAATGTGTTGTGTGTTCAGAGATGGTCTTCTGCATACCTTGTTTGTAATGAGCGGTTACTCAAGTTACTGTTGACTTTCTATCAGCTCGAACCAGTCTGCCCATTCTTCTCTGATCTCAACAAGGCATTTTCGTCTTTTTCGGACCATTATCTGTAAACCCGAGAGTTGGTTGTGCGTGAAAATCCCAGTAGATCAGCAGTTTTTGAAATACTCAGACCAGCCCGTCTGGCACCAACAACCATGCCACGTTCAAAGTCACTTAAATCCCCTTTCTTCCCCATTCTGATGCTCGGTTTGAACTTCAGCAAGTCGTCTTCACCATGTCTAGATGCATAAATGCATGGAGTTGTTGCCATGTGATTGGCTGATTAGTAATTTGTGTTACCAAGCAATTGAACAGGTGTACCTAATAGAGTGGCCGGTGAGTGTAGGTTTTGTTTTTTGATAATCATTTTTTCTCACTTTCTGATTAACCATAGCGGTCTCTGCATTTAGTGATATCAAGCACCACAATGCACCTGGTAGCCAGAGACCATGTCACCCTTGTCTAGTGTAATGACACGACAGCATTTGTTTTTTAATTCATGCGGAGAAAGGAGTATAACATTTGGTAAAGCTGCTCCAGCTAAATAAGTTGTCATATAAGGGCACTCATCCTTTCAAGGGCCACTAAGAATAAACAGCATCATCTACATAAGCTGGTACGAGCCTGACTCTTTCACACGCTGCAGACCGGCGCCGTGCTACACGTGGATCTCTCCCCAGCACTTTGTAAGTGGCAGGTTAACAAATGGTTATAATTGCAGCACAAACTCCAATTCTTAGTCTGCCTTGAGGGGGTCCAGTCCGGGTGCCGCTCCCATCCCGAATTCCCATCCCGTCTTTCATGGCTGCATAATAAATTTATTAAAAAACACCATCTGGAAGGGACGGCGCTGCCGGCCGTTGTCACCCTCAGGAGTTTTCATCCTTCGCTCCTGTCACTTTGTTACAGGAACATTCTGCCAAACATCGCAATATTCTTGGAATTTGCGTTTTCTTCTGCACAAATAAAGACAGTTTAAAGAGAACCAGTTAGTCTTATCTTGAGAGGTAGACAGAACTAAGTGCAAAGCTCCAACTGTCTTCATAAAGGCAGCAAAGAATAGGGCACCAAGAAATTACTGATGGTCCAGATAATTTAAAAAAACTACTTTTGGGGGTCTTCTGAAGCTTTCCCTAATCACGGCTTAGGAATATGGTCCTGGGCTGGGGGAATCTGGATGGAAAATTGTTGTTATTCTAGGGTTGGATTTGATTAGCACATTGAAAGCCTGGTCTGTTCATTGATCTAGCAGCCTACCACACCAGTGACCAGAGCACGCTTTACGTACACTTATTATTATGAGACCCAAAAATTATCTGCCCATACCTCCCCCTAGCAAAATATTCCTAAACCCTGATGGAGGACTTCAAAAACCACCGAAACACATTGGATGATGTTTTTTTAATGTGTATGTCATGCAAAAGACAAACTACATCTCGTTTCTGCACGCACATTTACCTATGTTTAATTGCTATAAAAAAGCGTGCAAGTACAGGGCTATTCCTATTGATCTGCGGTCAAGACATGCAGCTCATAATTGCATGCTGACAACAAACAGCATTTTTGTGGACTGAATGGTGTCAGCCCTGTCTAGGCAGATAACAATGAAGATCCCCAGCACTCGCGAGATGAAATAAATCCAAATGTTCTTTTTAGATCATTGTCACAGCAGCCAATGTTTCGGAAACACACAGGGTCCCTTCAACAGGGCAGACATGGTGACAGGACTGTCACTGTAATTTGATATCACTTAGGGGGCTTCTTAGCCCTCTATGTGATAACAATAAATTTAAGTGTAAAAAAAAAAAAAAATTAGTCACACACAAAAAAAAATGTTAAAGCCCCCCACCCTCACATGCATCGGGTGTGCCTACGAGCGAAAATGATGATTGAGCAATAATTTTAGGGCCATTAATCACTGTCAACCCTAAACTGATGAGCAGTAAAAGCTGTATTAGCGTCGCCTATGGCCAATTTTGAGTGTGGTAGTTATTTGCAATTTTGCAGGCATGCACAATTTTAAGGCTTGACGTGTTTGGTGTCTATTTGACCGACCTGACCCCGTCTTTTATATTTTACCAAAAAATTGGGTAATACAAATTTTTCATAACATAATAAAAAGGGAAAAACTGTTTTTTTTCAAAATTTTCTGCATTTTTGTTGTTGTTTTAAAGCAAAAAATAAACCCCCCGGGTGATTAAATACCACCAAAAGAAAGCTCTATCTGTCACCAAAAAATTGTATAAAAATAATTTCAGTACAGCGTTGGATGACGGAATAAATGTCAGTCAAAGTACTGCAGCGCTGAATACTGAAAAATGGCCGGGGCAGGAAGGGGGTGTAACCCTCCCGGTCTTCAAGTGGTATAAGGAACACACACTGATTCTACAAATGTGTACAATGTCACAACTTGTCCAAACAGACTCCCCTGTTATTCTGCACACCCATGCGGCACTGATCCTTTCTTAGTTTATGATAGAAATATATGCACCATCCTTTAAAATAAAAAGTGCACTGGATTGTGCAGGTATCACTTAAATGGTAATATAATAAAAGGCCTCTGATAAAGCGGTAGACACCGAAACTTGTCAGGAGCAGCAGGAGGACTGGGGGGGGGGGGGCTTACTACAGTTAAGCCTAACACACATTTTCAGTTTTTTGATCCATATTTCTGTCCCAAATGCTACTCCCTGTGCTGGCAGAAGACCAATGCCATCTTGAGACACCTGGAAACTAGAAGTTATTATATTAGGTATGAAATGATTCCTGCACAATCTAATGCACTTTTAAATTGGTTTCTTAAGTTGATGAGAGATGTAGATGGTTATTGTAAATTACTCATCCACTCACTTGTTATCTCTCGTCTTGACTATCGCAACTCTCTCCTCATTGGCCTACTACTACACAGGCTCCTCCCCCCTTGGCTGCAATCCGCCACCACCCTCTGCCAATACCTGCACTGGCTTCCATCCCCCAACACCCTCTGCCGATCCCTGCACTGGCTTCCAATAACCCAAAGGATAAAATTCAAAATATTATCCACGACTTACAAAGGCATCCACAACTCTGACCCCCGGCTATATCTCAAACCTCGTCTCAAAGTATCACCCTAACCGTCCCCTCCGCTCTTCAAAAGACCTCCTGCTTTCCAGCTCCCTCGTCAACTCCTCCCATGCTCGCTTCCAGGACTACTCTAGAGTCTCTCCCATCCTCTGGAACACTGTACCCCAACCAGTCCGTCTATCTCCCACTCTGACTGCCTCTAGGCGATCCCATAAGACTCATCTCTTCAGGGAAGCCTATCCCACCTCAACCTTACCACTCAACCATCATGTACTCAAACAATTAATTCCCACACAGCTATCTTCTCATGTATTACTGGCCCCTCCCTTTTAGATTGTAAGCCCTCAGGGGCAGGGCCCTCCTTACCATCCTGTCTTGAATTGTATTGTGATTGTAATGTCTTCCTTATATTGTAAAGCGCTGTGCAAACTGTTGGCGCGCTATAAATCCTGTATAATAATAATAATTGCTAGCTTATTTTTTTAAAGGCTGATCCAAAGGCTTTGAAATGGAGTCAGGTCCGGAGATTGGACTTGTTGCGGGTCACTGGATTAGAGTATGGAGGGCAGACAGAGAAATATTCAGGAGAAAGGAAGCAATGCCAGACAAATGCAGGATAGGATAACCAGATCCAATACAGAGGAGCACTAAACGTCAGGAATGTCTTTATTTTCCAAGTCAGCTTAAAATGCTACAAAGTCCTTGCCATTCTAATAAGACAGAAAACTCTTCCAGGAAGTGCACCTTCCTTCTAAATGAGTCTGTAATTAGTTTCTGACTAATTAGTAACAGAAGCTTGGACATCAGAAGTGGTATTTCCTTCCAGCGTCACTTTTTACTGATCTAAAACTGGATAGAGAAGCAGCTGATGTGCTGTTAGAATGACACTAGAAGACTAAAGAACCCTTTAACAGAGCACCCAGGACTGACCAACCGCTGCGGGTCACACAGGACCAGTCCAGGGCTGCAGAGAACCCTAGATTGGCCAAAGGCTACAGAGCACAAGGGACCAGCAAATGACCATACCGTGTAGTAGACCAGGCAATGGATGTTGAGCACACAGGTTCGCCCATGGCTGCAGGGCGCAGAAGAGTCAAATGCTGCAGAGCACGCAGAACAGGCCAATGGCTGCAGAGCGCACAGGATGCCAATCCTGTTATGTTCAAGAGACTGGCTGCAGAGCATTCAGTAGTAGACAGTGACAAACATCAATATGCGAGAGTCAGTTTTTTACAATGTATAGTTATTTTATCTAAGACGGGGATAGGCAGCCGTGCTGTGGTGCAACTACGAATTCCAACATGCCTCTGACTGTGGGGGGCATGCCTGTGGCTGTCAGAGTCTTGCACTGCCTCATGAGACATCAACAACAGCTGGAGTGCAGAGATTGGCACCCCAGCTGTAGTGGAATGGTAGTTCATGGTATTTCCACAAAAGCTTAGGTGCCAAGGTTGCCTACCCCTGATATAGATCCTGGTAGTCTCTCCAGGATTTATCTATCAACTGCACGCAGTTTCTTGCTCCGAGCAGGTTCGGCTTCTGGGGACACATAAGACTGGTTGGCCTTGGGCAGTCCAGTTACTGCATCCCCCCTCGTCTGTGGCGGTGGTGTCCTCCCAATGGACCCATGTTCTTCTGGCCTTGGCAGCAGTATGGTAAGCAGAGGGTCTACCTAGTTTCCCCACAGCTGAAGTGTCAGAGGTTGCCTGGCACTCATCCATGATTTTATTGGTACAATTAGACAATTCGAGAATGATGGGATTAGATAAGAAAATGTTTATCTGCGCAAGAAAAGCTTTGTCTAAGCAAGAGCTGTGAAGACTGCGGCCACCACATATGTGTATGTTACCCCCAAAATTTAGACTCTGTGTGTGGGCGTGTGGGCGTTCCCCTGGGTTCCTGTTTCACACTGACGGCGCCAAGCATGGAAGCAGATTGGGGCTAGCCTGGTCAGTTTGCATCCCTGGGATTGCTGATGAAAGATACAGGATGCTGTGCCTATACATAGTGCGCATGTAGGGCTGTAGCTACCATGGGGCGAGTGAGCCTCAGGTGCAGCTGAGAAGGGGCGCAGCCAGGACTGGCCTGGCTGCGCCTCCTCGCCCCTGTTGCCATGGCGAGCACAGGGCGCCATTGGCAACAGGGCCGCCATCCTGGAGGTGGGGAGCATTAAGTCACATGACGCCGTGCGTGCGCAGCGATGGGTGACATAACACGTCTGTTGGGGTGCGCACTTTTCCGTTCTTGCCTCGAGCGCAAAAGACGCTAGCTACGGCCCTGTGCGCATGTACCTCACATGTACAGTTTTGTGGCCACACCCCCTCACCCAACTATAAGTTGATTGACAGCGACTTCCAGCAAAAGCCTCGCTGTCAAAAATGCAGCTATGTGATGAAAGCCACAGATGGGAAACATACTTCCCCGCTGTGTGTGTTAAGTAAGTCCACCACCTTACCACACAGACATGCCTTAGACTTTGGTGAAGAGGGATGTCATGGGGCTATGTGGTGCTTATGTTTTCCAAAGAAAACAAAAAGTGTTTTAACCAATTATGCACCCATATACTGTATATAGGCTGCCGCAACATATCAGCCGAAAATTGCACTTTTGGCTAAATGCCGCAAGTGCCATTTTTCTGCCGATAAAGCGGCGCATCCGTTCTTTCTTTCCTCCTGCTGGGCGCTGCTCTGTGTCCCAGCGGGGAGGAAAGAACGTGTCACAGGCGGCCGAGCGCTGCGGAGGAGAGCGCTGTGAGAAGCTGGTGTCTCTCCTCCCACACCGCACTGCTCAGCTCTGCTCGCCCAGCCTCCTGTGACAGCTGTCAGGAAGGAGAGCGAGTACATGCAGTCAGGGATCAGTGATCGCTGAGTGTTTGTAAATAATTGAGGACAGAGTATGGTTACTGGATCATCAATTATGAATGACTGGGAAGTGATCTACACCACCTCCTGTTCATTCATGATTGTGGTTATACCGTGTTTCCCCGAAAATAAGACAGTTATATATAAATAATTTAATTTAAAAAAGATTAAATATAAAAAACAAAAATTACATATTTTTTTAAAACTTGAAAAAGTTATTTAAAAAAATTATTTTCGGTTTCGGCCTGACATTTTTTCATTTCGGTGCACCTCTAGTTTTAACCTATGCAATACTACTTGCTGTATCACAATGGTATTTTAATGCACTGTGTTCAGAAATAGTTTAATGCGAATATGAACATCTTTCAGTCATCTCGTTTGCCATCAATGGACCTTTTCTGAATTCTAGAATCAGGAACTGGTGATGAAATTCTACAGCACCCAGATCTAGTCACAGCATAGCAAGGATGTGTGGCATAGCTGCCATCATGTCTCTTACCCATCAGGCCTTTCTCCAAGGTAAAGGATTTATGGGTGAACATACATTCAAAGGCCACGAGATGGAAGACCTTGTTGACCGTGTTGTGAGTCCCCACAATCCTGATGTACCTGAAAGACACAAAATGACAAGGTCAGGCCCGCATTGCCTCGGGATGTACAGGCCATCTATAGGCTGACCATACATTGGCAGATTTTCATATGAAATTACATCATAACATTCAATAATGACATCAGAGACTTGTAGAATGTCATACAAAGCTCCTTTTGAGTTTAGGTTTCGATTTTGGAATGAGTGGTTTCCCAGAATGAAAACTTCATACAACACAGATGCAGAAAATGACATTTCTGGGGGTGTTACAGCAATTTTGCATTGAATTTTTTTTTACAGCTTCAGAAAATTATAGTGGCTACAGTTTTGAATGGAAAGAGAATTTTTTATAAAATCCAATTACAAAATGGTTTGAGTAGCAATTACAAATGCTATAATCATTTTTTTTTTAGGATTTACATTTTTTTTTTTCTAAAACGGCGTTTACCTTTAAGGTACTTTTCAGAGTGAGCCTCCGGATTATTGTCATGTCCAACGTAAATGGAAATTGTTTGGTTTCTTTTGAACATCTGCTTGTATTACAGCTTTGCAGCCCCAATGCACACGGACACAATGAGTGTGCCACAGAGAGAGTAAGGTCTCGTTCACACCTAGGCGTATTACATATGCGCGACCGTCGCACGTTTTTTTACCGCGATTCGCGGAAAAAAAGTCGCGCGACAAGCGCGCGTTTCTGAGGGCTACTTGGCTGTACCCCAATGGAAACGCGCAACAAAAACGGCCCAAAGTAGTACATGTACCTTTTCAGGCGTGGGCTGTTTTGTAGCGCGTTAGGGACGGGCGGAAATACGCCAAGGTGGGAACGAGACCCATTGAATACAATGGGATTTATATTTTTGAGCGTTTTGTAGAGCGTTCGTCGAGCGTAGAACGCGCTACAAAACGTTCAGGTGTGAACGAGGGCTTATAGGAAGCGGCAAAGAACGGGTTTCACACACTCTCATAACCCTGGTGGATGGTTGGCGTGTCCTACTAACCGCATATCAGCCACAGGTTAATTTCAATTATTGTTTTTAGTTGTGGCCTGGCGTTCGTCTGCCATATTACAGAGGCCTGGCAGAAAGGAAGCTGACTGTCCCCAGGCAAGGCAACTACAGCGGGTCTCTGCTACAGATTGTACTACTGTACTAGGCCTCATTCACACTGGAAATCGACCCGCACGTACAGCTCCGTGCTGCGTACACGGCCGTATCGGGCAGCTCCCAGGAAGGACAGGTGTTGCGTGTGATTAGTACACAGCCCGTCCTTCTCTATGGGAGTACGCCGCCTTATGCTCACCCCAACTGCAGGTCCATACGGGTGCGGGTGTCCCGGCTCCGGCGCAGACAGGATCCATCCCGTCAGCGTACGAGTACGGGCACCCACACGAACGTGCAGGGCAGGTGAGCGTAGGGCGGCGTACGCCCATAGAGAAGGACAGGGGCTGCATACTAATCACACGCAGCACCTGTCCTTCCTGGGAGCTGCCCGATACGGCCGTGCACGCAGCACGGAGCTGTATGTGCCGGCCTTTTCTCGTGTGAATGAGGCCAAAAAGTGCAACTTCGAGCAAATATTTATATTAAAAGACACCATTTCTGGTTTTATTTCCAAAATCATATTAGTTGTAAATACTGTTAGTATAACCACCTGAAACAAGTTTTAATATTAGCTTATCACAATCTTCTACAAACCAGAAATCAGGGAGAAGAGGAGATTTTATATAACTGAGCTGGTCACAGTTACAATCTGGGATGTATATGGAAATGTAAACACAGGCGGGTTGAATATGATGAAACAATTTCATTACATTTAGGTTGAATTCACAAAGCTAATACACCAGGATAAGCAGCTTTTTTGTTTTAGAAAAGTGACAGTTATTTTTTGCCAAGTCCAATGAGATTTGAAAATGAAAGTCACATGGCTGAAGATATAAAAAGGTTCTGATCCTTGTGTGAAGCAGTGGCGTCACAAGGGGGATGCGGCCCGCACCCGGGTGACACCATTGGAGGGGTGACACCAAAATGACTTTATCATTTTGGTGTCACCCCCCTCTGAAAAGTCGGGCGCTCGGTCATGGACCGAATGCCCAACAGTATCAGGAGAAGGGGGAGACCCCGGTGTCATACCTTATCCCGCCGGGTGACTGTCTCCTCCTCTCTCTGCCGGTGTCCATCACCAAGATGGCCGCCGCCAGGTATCAGAATACTGCCACGCGCGGTGACGTCTCGGCGGGGTGACACTCGGACACCGCTCCGGGTGTCACCCAGCCTTGGGACGCCCCTGGTGTGAAGTTTTGTGAATGAAGCCTTTGGAATAAAATATGGATTGGATAAGCTAAAGGATTTATGACCCGAAGATGATCTTAGATCTGGCCACACACATGGGGGGGGGGGATTTATCAAAACTGGAGCAGACAAAATCTGGAGCATTTGTGCATGGCAACCAATCAGCTTCTTTCTTTCATATTCAAATCTTAACTGAACAAACTGTAGAGAGAATCTGATTGGTTGCCATGCACAAGGTTTTGATAAATTCTCCCCATTATACTTTCTTTTTTTAAATGAAGTTAAATCTATGATCAAAAATGTAAAATAAAATGTGTATTTCTAGATCTGTATTCCATATGTTCTATCCCACTCCTAATAACCAGATCCATCTAGAAATGTGTAAATGTACTTATTGAAGATGCCCACTTCCTCAAATGCACTGACACCATTTCACTCTTTGAATATGACCTTCCTGGTGTCGCCTCTCTCACAGAGCCTGTCTTCTGAACTACAGCTCAACGTCTGAACAAAGTAACATTATCATTGCTTGTGGGAAGCAATGCATGATGGGGTATGAAGTCTTGAGAAATGGAGATTGCATCACATCAAGCAGCAGGGAAAGAGACGCAAAGCACACTGGGAATCCAGGAAGTTGTAGTAAGTGATGGGCAGACGGAAGGCAGCGCTCACTACATGAAAGGGATTTTTCCAGTAAGGCATTATCAGACACGACTCCAGTATGTATTCATATTAAAATGCTAACAGGAGAGGATTTGCTGATCTTTAATGATTCCAGTAACTCATTTAGCTGTTTTCTTACATAAACAATTTGACAATTGACTCAATGTATGTCCTGACTAAAAATACCCTTTACTATGAAATACACAACACCCAGAAGGACATGATTTTAATATTTTACCACTCTCACAGTACAGAAAATGATATGAGGACTGATGTGAGAAAATATTTGTCATGATTTGGTAGAGATTTTTCAGTCTCCCTCCTCTGGTGACACTCTCGTCTATAGCACGTGGCTGCTCGGGGCTCACAGGGAACCCAGTGGACCTGACACTTTATCTTAGTAGCCTCCGGATCCGAGCCCAATGTCTGCCGCCCTCCAGGAAGCCTTTCCAGAGTCACTTGCTCTGAGCTCACATTAACCTCCAGTGCTGTCTGACAGAGGGCTGGAGGGTCTGAGGTTAACTTTATTTAGTTGCCAACTAAATTCTCTGTGTACATCTTGCTGCCGGCTGGCAGCTAGATTCCACGGTCGGTAGCGGAATGTAAACAACAGGCAATGGGCAGGAGCAATAGCCAGCCAGCTATTGGCTATTTCAAATTGGAATAGCCAATAGCAGGCTGGCTTTTGCACCCACCCAATGCCTGCTGTCAATCAGCAGAAGAGCAGACCTGAAAGAGTTCTTGGGGGTTGCTTGAGAGTCAATAGTAACTCTCAGGCAAGCAGAAACTAGTTATCCGGCATCCACCAATGCCCATGGGTGCCAGACAACTGGGAGTTTACTGTAATATCAAGGTATCTGTAGCAATTCTGAATATAATTGAATGATATTATTCATCTTTTTAATTTTAAGGGTGTGAAGTTTTCTGGTAGATCCGTTTTTTTTACCAACTTTTATTTTTTAGATGCCAGAAATAAAAAAGTTTATCCTGCAATAAGATGCATGAGCTTAAAATAAACAATTATCCCTCCTTCACACACTATCCTTTCAATACACCCTGAAGATTTAGGCTCGATTCATACTTCCAAGCTGCGGTAAGGCATGCACCGTGCATTGCGCTGCCATTTATTTAGAACTGAAACCCAATACACCTGCGTTGAAGCATGCCACAACATACAGTAGTACATTGCAATGTGTTGTATTACTAAAAAAAGAATCACATGCAAATCTAAGCACATCAGGGCGCATTGGGAGCTCATTCATTTTGAATGCGCCTTAATGCAACACAGGTTAATGCGTGACATAACACGACATTAACACACCGCAGGGGAGTAAATGGACCCTTAACAATTTGAGGCATCCGACAAGATTTTTGATCGCTATAGTGCAATCCCGCTCCGTTAGCTCCTCCATTGGGTGACCTCTGATAGCGTTATTGTAGGTTCAGCAGACAATGTTGTGGCCTTCAGACCAACTCCACTCCCGATAAACCTGTGCAGCACCAAACAGGACAAAGTAGAGCAAATGCTGCAGGCATGGGTTTATGCTATGCACTGTATATCCAGAGCAGAAAACGAGCATTCGTTCAAACAGCCTGGAGTCTATTCAATATCTCTGGTCCCTTTAAAGTTCCCACATAGTCAGCAACAATACTGAAAGCCATCATATTATGCATATATTGTGTAATGGGCCTATGCTGTACTAAGAACACCCTCCCAAACCAGCACCAGACAGAACGGATCCATGGGTTCCTATTATAAACACCAAACTCTAACCTGGCCATCTGTGCATTGCAGAAGACATCCAGATCCAGGCAAAGCAACTTTATTTCCGCACTTCCGTCATCCAGTTAAGTGATTCAGTGCCCCTGTAGTCCAATTTTTCTTCCTCTTCAAGAGAGGATCAATGAGCTAATGTTGAGTGTTCAAATTTCTGCAACTCAGGACACTCAAATCCCAACTACATTCTTCTGGGTTCTCTAGGTTGCTCAAATCACAGGATTCAAGATCTGCTTACGTCCTGCTAAGAATGTCTATCAAAACAACCCTGAAGAAGGTGTTTGAGGTAAAA